GTACCGGTACTTTGGGGCACTTTCATTCAATTTACATGTGTAAGACATGTGAGGTGCAATCTTTGACAAATTATGCCCAAGTTAACAATTTCAGTTTGGATGTTTATAAATTAATTGTCACTACTCTAAATCATTGTAATTTGATTTCAGAGTTCAGTTAAAAGCAACACCTAACTGAAGCCATCAGTTCTACCGGTAGATGTTTTTACCTTAAATGTACATGTCGGCTGGTCGCTTACCCCCCCCCCCCCCCCCCACCCCACCCTTTAGGTAAACCACTGAACCTACCGGTATTATTATTAAAAGTTGTTGGTGAACATGTAACCAATAAACTCAAGTGCTCAAAAACTGTGTATTTAAACTTTTAAGGATTGAGGTGATGGGTTTGAAGTCCGTTTCTGTAGTTGTCTTGTGTTCGTGAATTATGTGTTTTGGGTAGTTTTCGTTTTTCTTTTGTTATCATTAATTAGCAGGCTTCTATCTTTATCTCAATAGTTTCTTGGGTATAATTATTTATGCCAGGTCTGCATATTGTTGATTTCACATTCAGTTACACATTTCAGCAATTTGTTTCACTTGTATAGTTAGTGTAAATTCACATTTTGTTCATGCTATAATTGAGTAAACCTTTTGTCCTTCCGTTACCGTCCTTCCGTTACCAAATCATAATCTGCTTAAAACGTTGTAATTATATTACCGAAACACTTCAAGTCAAATGAAAGGCGGTACAGTATAGATAATGCTTCAGGGATTCCATTTCTTACCTTTAAAATATAATTGCCCCATAAAATTCACAGAGTTTACGCAAAACGTGAGTAAGTTGGAAAACCCTTGTCCGTTTTACCGTCCTTCCGTTACCGACCTCATTAAAATTCATAATTCATAAACGGGAGGCATTCATGCCCCCCAAAAGTGTGGATAATGAAAGTAGCATTATAGCAATACAATTTTGACATTTGTTTGCTGTAACTATGAACATTGTCTGTGATACACACATTTGAAATTTTGTTTAATGAGTGAAAACGTCCTTCCGTTACCGTGGAATTGCCCTTATACAAATGTTGCATTTGGTGCAATTGTGCCATAACTGTTATCTAACTTAACACTAAACTTGTCACATGGTCATTAACAGAATCTACCAAAAATTGTTATCTCTGAAAACAGCACTCCAATGCTGTTGACTCATAGATACTTCGCACTCATGTACGGTGGCCCTGAAAGGACATCACACATCAAAATTTCTGTGCAGATTCCTGGGATGTCGCACATTTTATCGCACATTTCTGCAATGTCGCACATTTTATCGCAGAAATCTGCGCAGATTTCTGCGATGTCGCACATTTTATCGCACATTTATGCACTGATTTCTGCAATTTCGCACATTTTTTCGCACATTTCTGCGTTGATTTCTGCGATGTCGCACATTTTATCGCAGAAATCTTCGCCGATTTCTGTGATGTCGCACATTTTATCGCATATTTCTGCGCTGATTTCTGCAATATCGCACATTTCTGCGCCGATTTCTGCGATGTCGCACATTTATCGCAGAAATCTGCGCAGAATTTATCGCAGAAATCGGCGCAGATTTCTGCGATGTCCGGCACGTTTTATCTCACTTTTCTGCGCATATTTCTGCGATGTCGCACATTTTATCGCAGATTTTTTTTCTTCAGCAAGCTAGGTTGTCACCATGGTTGTCACGTGGCGTGCCTCTGAATCTTCATCGGCATTCATTTTGGTGACTTGTTGGTCATCATATAGTAAGGATGGTGATTGACTGTGGGACGAATGTATCGAATGCAAGTGTACGCGCGCGTGTGTAGACAATTAGAGCATGGGTGTGCGAACACGCTTTCGGCACCCGACTACTATCCTCTATGCAAAATTAATATCATGGAGGCCAGAACCCCGACATTCTTAGACCCCTTAGTTCGGCCAAAAAATAGACAGGTGCCAGTGTGTTAAAAAGATGCAGAAATGTACGATAAAATGTGCGACATTGCAGGAATCTGCGCAGAAATCTGTGATAAAATGTGGGACATCGCTGAAATCGGCGCAGAAATTGTGCGATAAAATGTGCGATATTGCAGAAATCGGCACAAAATCTGTGATAAAATGTGCGATATTGCAGAAATCAGCGCAGAAATCTTGATGTGTGATGTCCCTTCAGGGCCACCATACTCATGTCAGCCAACTTAATTATTATATGCAGCTAAAAGATCAAAAGGAAGTTGTGAAGTTCAAAAGGAAGTTGTGAAGATCAAACGGAAGTTGTGAAGATCAATGGGAAGTTGTGAAGATCATAGGGAAGTTATGAAGATCAAAGGGAAGTTGTGAAGATCAAAGGGGAGTTATGAAGATCAAAGGGAAGTTGTGAAGATCAAAGGGGAGTTATGAAGATCAAAGGGAAGTTGTTAAGATCAAAGGGGAGTTATGAAGATCAAAGGGAAGTTGTGAAGATCAAAGGGAGGTTATGAAGATTAAAGGGAAATTGTGAAGATCAAGGGGAAGTTGTGAAGATCAAGGGGAAGTTGTGAAGATCATAGGGAAGTTGTGAAGATCAAAGGGAAGTTATTAAGATCTAAGGGAAGTTGTGAAGATCAAAGGGAAGTTGTGAAGATCATAGGGAAGTTGTGAAGATCAAAGGGAAGTTGTGAAGATCAGAGGGAAGTTGTGAAGATCTTAGGGAAGTTGTGAAGATCAAAGGCAAGTCGTGAAGATCATAGGGAAGTTGTGAAGATCTTAGGGAAGTTGTGAAGATCAAAGGCAAGTCGTGAAGATCATAGGGAAGTTGTGAAGAATTCTGCAACTAAAATCCCAAGCAAGGGGTTGATAAACTTGTCCATAACTTTACCCAGATATTTAATGAGATGACTTATAATTTATAGTGGGCTATTTCCATATGAAGCAATCACAAAGCTGCCTGTTCTTGCATGAATTGTGCATTTTGCAGGATACCTTGTGATTGATCCGTTTAGACCCTGCTCACATAAAGCTCTGCTATTCATCACAATCCATTATTTTTGTTCTACATATTGTACATGTATTGCATTGTGTTAATTCACTGAAGGATCAATAAAACCATGGAGGGGCTAATAGGCTAAAAATCCATGTACAAATGTAGTCCGTTTTCGATGGACGTATTGTGTTGTGCAAATTTATCTGTTGTCTATCCGTGGCGTGCACTTTGAAAATCCATGTGTAAGTATTCTCTGTGCACTTGTCGGACATAAAAGCTCAAATAGCGAGCATGCGGTAGGTTTGCGAGCAAAAAAATTTATTCTCATTTATATTAAGCTTCGGCAAAGTACACATTTTATGAAATAAACATTGACAAGATTTAACTTGAGATATGAATCTTCAGTGCTTTAAAGGAAAATTAAGTAATTTAATTCAACACACCTCGTAGCTTGTCTGAAGATTCACATACAAACTGTTTCCTGTTAAGGCCAACCATTAAAATGTGTCTTTTACCCCACCACTTTATGATTTCTTAAACAAATCCCATGCCGTGCGTATAATCTCATGCGTATTACAAGCGCCATCCGTTTCAAACGCTAACTGCAGTTAGCATACATACAATTTCAATGGACAATGTGCAATACGAATTATACACATGCAAGTATACATGTATATATGCATGTTGCTTTTCGAACAGAAAAACTAGTTAATGTAAGAAATAAAAGAAGAGAAAATATCGGAGACATAGATCTATGAAAAGGAAATAGGATTTGAATTATTTGTAGCTATAGCTAGGACTTTGTGTGCCAATTTTCCCCAAAGTTCTAGCATGCCCTGACATGATGCAAGATGCTGATAATATTTTTATCAACCTTTGATCTCCATATTTGTATACAATCGATGAATGTCAATGCAGTATATTGGCTGCGATAAAAGAACTCAGAGCTGGAGATCATGAGTGCAAAGTCTCTACCTGATGAACACTCACCAGAATTTTATTTCCTTGTTTGTTTAAACAAATTTTGGGAAGATTCCATAGAAATGGTTGTGTAAATTATTCTACAGTATGTAAGCCAACAATTACAGCTAAATTACACACAATGCAAAGTTTGCATAATTGAAGACCAAAATTTCAAATGTGAAATCCAAATAAATGAAAGTTGTTCCAGCAATTAAAACTGTTTTTTTTTTAGGGGACCCAAGATGGTTACAAGCATGAGAAATGTATTTTCCCATTTAAAAAAAATACCTATTAGTTAATGGTATTGCCATCGGATGATTGTTCCGCATGCGCAGTGCTGCCAGCTATTATATGTACCTTTGTGATTTAGCTTGCAATTAAGGTGTGGCCGGCAATTAGACCCGTGAACGTGGACGTTGTATACAACGCCACGTTCTTGTTTCATTTCGAACCTGGCGAAATCGATCCGACATACATAATTCCGTATGGGTGTTGAGTACTCACCTAGAAATCTAAATTTGCCCGTCCGATTGTTTCGGCTGTGTAATTTCGACGAAATTTGCCCATCAGTAAAGACCCATACGAACGTGTAGAAATTAGATTTTAACCTGACCCTGACAAATAACTCCGGACGCGTCTGAGTCGCTTGGACAGATTGACGGCTGTTTCATGTCGCAACCCAGAAAAAAAAAACCCGCAGACGATTGGCTGCTCGGCTCATCTCGTGTACAGTACGTGTGTGCACACACACGCGGGCGCACGTGCGACCGCGTGCGGTGCGGTGAGAGAGGAAAGGACTTGAAACTTGTCTAAAACGATGTCTGTTTTAGCTGCGACAGTAAACAGCCGTCGATTCATACGAAAATAAAACGCAATGCGCATGCGTCAGTTGGGAGAAAATGGCAGCTAGCAGTAGCGGACGGACTTCATGAACCGGGGCCAGAATTTTCCTCAATTTTCGTCAAATGCAAGTTTTGACGTACAAATAGAATTCAAGACAGCTTCATATGTGAGTACTTATTACATGGGCAAAATAACGTCCAGTGTGTGTAACGGAGGGAGTCAGAGGGACACGTTCGCCAGGTTCGAAATGACATAAGAACGTGGCGTAGTTTACAAGCCACGTTCACGGGTCTAGCCGGCAATCAGAAACCAGACTGGATGAAGGTGGCTTCACGCGCGGCAGGTTTCTGACTTATAATTTTGAAACTACTGTGAAATACTAACAAGTGAACTGGGCTCCTGTTAAAAAGGTAAGTATAGCAGAGTATGGATTTTCAAAATCTAAACTATTTTGCTCTAAAGTAAGTGGATTACATGCATACCTCACAATTATGCGTGTCTCTCGACCTTCATGGAACAATGTAACCGTCAAAGTTTTTACCACAGATGGGCCGGAGGGGGGGACTAAAGTTCCACAACTAAAGATGAGCAATATGCAAATCATGCTTGTACATGTATAAGGCTCATCCACAATTACCAGGAGTTGCTGCATTGTCCACAGGTGCCCTGATCTCAGTTTTTATGTATCAACAGTTATAAAAATGTGAGGTATACAATTAATATTAATATGCACACATTTCCCTTACATTTTGCAAGTAAAAGGTTATAAAGGGTTGTGAAACATTGGGTTTCTGACGCTCGTTTTGATCAGCTAACATCATAATGTGAGGGAGACAAATCACACCAGAGGAAAGCCCTCCTGTTTTGACCCCGCCCAGTCCGAAACCAACTTTTTATGAATACTGCCCTCTACAGTGGTCAATGACCAATACAAGGAAATGGGAACATGTAGTCTATATGGCTAATTACAGTACACAAGGTAAATGAATCAAATTAGGTTTTTGCCCTTCACCGACGTTTTTTTTTTTTTGCGTCGGGGTGATATAAATCAAATTAGGTTTTGCCCTTCAGCGACGTTTTTAAACACTGTATACTCAATGTGTTACCTCCCGAGTGAAAGTTGGAAAAAAAACACTCGGGTGGGACTCGAACCCACGACCTCCTGCTTTCTAGTGCAGATGTCTTACCACTCGACCACCGAGCTAACGGGATCGGTTGGCCGGTTCGAATCTGATGTACATAGCAGCGGGTACCGCATCAACTATTATAAGATGGAATTTTGCGTCGGGGTGATATAAATCAAATTAGGTTTTTGCCCTTCAGCGACGTTTTTAAACACTGTATACTCAGTGTGTTACCTCCCGAGTGAAAGTTGGAAAAAAATCACTCAGGTGGGACTCGAACCCACGACCTCCTGCTTTCTAGTGCAGATGTCTTACCACTCAACCACCCAGCTAACGGGATCGGTTGGCCGGTTCGAATCTGATGTACATGCATGTACATAGCAGCGGGTACCGCATAAACTATTATAAGATGGAATTTTGCGTCGGGGTGATATAAATCAAATTATTTTGCCCTTCCCCGACGTTTTTAAACACTGTATACTCAGTGTGTTACCTCCCGAGTGAAAGTTGGGTAAATGACAAGGTAAATGATATCATTTGATATAAAAAATGCCAAGCAAAGATCAATTGCAAATGGCTCAATTCTTCCATCAGATATCATCAAAATGGCTGAGCAAGAAGAGATGATGCCAACACAAGATGCTGAGAGACAGGAGCAGGTTGCTGATGGAGACTGTGCAGAGACTCGGGACCAAGCACTGGCCTTGAGTAGACGAGGCAACCAGGACCAGACAACAGGTGAGCAGTAAACCCTGGCTGTAAGCAAACCATATGCACGTTGATTCCTGGAGACATTTCACTGTTGACTTGTTCACGCTTTACAGTTTGTATGAAAATTAAAATGCAAAGGAATTGTTCAAGTTAAGAAATGTGTATTGAAGTGCAAGGGGCTATTCATTTTCTTTACTTCTTTACTTCATTGATTTTTTTTGGCAGGAATTTATTGTAATAATTTGTTATTTTAAATGGTTATGATGAGTGCAGTGGTAAGAATAATTCCATCTGTCACCTCATGAAACTATTCTTTATTTTACACGAATGTGAAACATTCATTATTTGTTTATACAACGCCTGAATAAATCCTTGTCTTCTGATTTGTTAGAGCCATCAGAGCCATGTTGCACTGCTACCACTAGTGTGACCGTGGAACGGAACTTCTATTTTTGCGGTGTAGCCAGGCCGTGTGGGTTGGGATGATTAATCCAATAAGTCATGTGATTAATAACCCACCAATCAGATGAAGGGGATTTATTCAGGTGTTGTATTATAAGAGACATTTTATTCCCATTTTCCGGACCTGATCCCAGTTGCAGCAGTCGATCAATTGCAGCAGTCAGTGCAGCAGATATCAAAAGGTAGAAAACAACAAATAATTAATGATACACAATCTCTTTTCATGCATCCACTCCTATTTGCTTATTTCTGGATCAGTGTAATTTATTGCATGTTTGATTGAAATGGGTTTCTGGTGAAGCTTTCAAGATAATAAGTCAAAGTGGTAGCAGGACCTAAATATTGTTGAATCATGAGCATAAACAAGGCAAATAGTTTGTCTGTTGTTTGTGTTGTGAAGCATAGGCTGCATCCGAATCAGCTGTCTAGAGCTCGGTCTAGGTCTGCGCCCATTGATGTACAGTGATGTAGTTGCTGCCATCGAATATTAGCCAGTTGGCAACTTACTGCAAATTTGTACAGTTCATCAAAGCAGAGACCTTGTGTTGCTTTACCAACCATTGGCCTCAACTAGGGATGCGTTACTGCAACAAAATGAAATCGTTTATAAAAAATAATTTGAATAAATACATGCACCTGCATTATGTAGCACACTTGCAAATTGTAAGCATTAACCCTCCTAGTCTTCTTCACTTTGGCTGGTACAGTTATCACCCCTACTTCAAATTTGTTTGCTTTGTGTCGGTTTGGATAACACTTCAAATTACAGCACAATTGTTGTGTGTGGTGAAGCTTATTTTAGGCAAGAATGTAGATTCTGTCACGCTTCATGGATGTTGACACAGAGCTGTGTTTTTGTGAAGTGACTATTATATTTGTGTGCATGTATATGACACAGTTACTTTTAAACTTCACATCCCTTCACTTGAAACTGACTTTCAGGGTTTTAAAGGGTTGACTTCCCACGAGGAGGGTCAATTCCCTAATAAATGATAATATGCTTGTCTCCTTTTTTGACAATAAACAATTATCCTTCTCGTATTTGTTTTGATTGAAGATGATGCACATGCATCACACCACTCTGGTCATCCATCAGTTGACATATCAGAGAATCCACCAAGTACATCACAGCAACCACCAACACGGCATGTGGCCTCAGGTGCACAAGGTAATTATCAATGAATGTACCAACTCCAAACCAGATGTCAATGTATTCATTCCTTACAGACTAGAGAAACACTTGTACAGGGTGAGTAAAATAAAGCGGAACCCAAACCCCCCAAAATATATTTCATTTTCAAAAAATATGTAGCACCAAACATAATAATGACTGGAAAGACAATAGATGAAAAACTTACTGAAATTGCTCACTCCGTTCAAAGAATATCACCATTTAAACGTAATGACCCTAAACCTGTTTTGTCCAAAAAGCAGTTTATTGTGTATTCTGACTGTTTGGAACAACAAAGAAAATAACAGAGAATACTTGTGTCAACAACTGCAGTACACAATATCTTTATTAACAACCCTTGTTAGGCAAACAATCTGATAATTGTTAAAATCCACTTTTTTTTTATTGAAAGATGGGCCTTCAAAAGGACTTTGTTGAATATTTTTAACTTTAAACTGAGGTTTTATCGCTGGTGTTGTTGAAGACAATTGTGACGACGATTCTTGAAATTACATTTTTGGAAGAAAGAGGTTTTTGGGTCATTGTGTTTAAATGGTGATTTTTTTTTAATAGATTGAGCAATTTCAGTAATCTTTTCATCTAATAGTAGTTTATGAAATTGGCTTTCCAGTCATTATTATTTTTGGTGAGCAAATTTTTTAAATATGTAATATTTTTTGACTCACCCTGTGGTTGCTTGTAGTCAATTGATAACCTTGCTGGGGAGTGGAGATGCATTTAATGACCACCCTCCCCCTCCCCACGTCACCTGAAGATGTTTTGATACAGCCTGGTGTGGTATGTCATGTACTTCTTTGTCTATGAACGGTCAGATTGCAAAAAAAACAAACATTTGTCTTCCAAGAACAGACGACAAGTACAGATGGAATCAAGCACACGCATGCATCATTTTGTCGGTCGTTTTTTTTAACGATGGTGTTATTCCTGCTTCTGATTGTAGATTCCCCACAACGAACTGGAACCATCGGAACCATCGGCACAATCAGTGGCAGTTACAGTCCTGTCATTGTTGGTTCAAATGCCGTTAATATTACTTACAACTTACAAGGTAAATAATAACCTTGTTCGTTAAGATGGAAGTAATTTGATATGAAATGTCAATATCTATATATATATTTTTTCCTTTTTTTTGGGGGGGGGGGAGACTCAAATCCTCGAGCGAGAGTCACCAATTATCTTTGGTACAACTATAAACCAAGTCAAAATATGGTTGACACAATGGAGGGTGCTTTATATAGCGGTTAAGTCTTGTAATTTTTTGGAATGATTAAGTTTTTAAATAATAACAGGCATTTATATAGCGCTTTTCAACGGGGTATCCCTTTACAATTATTATTACCTTCTCAATTCCCTGGGGAGCATACGCGGCTGGTAGGCAGCCATTTCGGTGCTCTTGGCCGTAATCAACCTCACACAGTAACCATCTCTGCCCACACAGGTACCCATCTACTCCTGGGCGGAGTGAAACACTGAGTGACAAAGCGCCTTGCTCAAGGTCACATGCACCATGACCCTATGCTGGCCAGGCAGACCACAAATTCAATGCTCCAGACCACTAGGCTTATATATTTGTGCCACATTTGAAAAAGGCTTGACCTAAGTCCCACATTATTTTTGCATTTATCAGGCTTTCAAGTATTTCTATTTTTCCTATTTTTTCCAATTTTTTTTTTACCTTTCTCCGACTTTTCCAAGTTTTTCTTAAAAATTCCTACTTTTCCCCCACTTTTTTATGTCCCACAACTCCGAAAAATGAAATCTCACTGAACATTTTTCATAACAGTGTTACACACTGTCATATGTAAATCACACAATGAACTGAATGAAGGGCTTGGGCGCAGGAGTACTGCAACTGTACTTACAAGAGCTTAGTTGAGGATGGAGCGCATGTGTTGTGAGTACAGAACATGCCAATTGAGGCTTATGATGCTGTGGACATGGGCGAGTATCAATGAAAACTACTCCTGAAAGCCCACAAAAGTCCTACTTTAGGCCCCCCCCCCCCCCAAAAAAAAATAGTCGGTCTCTGGTCAGACCGAAGTTCCGGAATTGATGCAGCGACGCTTTTTTTTATAATTTTTTTTATGTGGTTTTTTTTTTTCAAGCTTGTATTGTACAGACAAGGTGGGTATTATTTTGCTTTTTTGTGTCCTCATTATACATTGGTGTCCTCCATAATTTGCCTTGGTGTCCTTTATCATTTGTCTTGGTTCAATTTCCCCATTCCTTGGAGCTCCTTGGTACAAACATTTGAGGAGGCGCGGCAATAGAGGGCGCTGTTGTAGCTTCCATGTTAATTTGAAGAAAAAAAAAAGGTTGACGCGCATGATTAAAATCGACACGCGCGCTGACCAGAGACCGAGTATTTTTTTTTTTGGCCTTGTCCTGGTTTTGTCCTCCAAAGTCCCTTTTCTGTCCTGTTTTGGTTTCCTTTATTTTGAGCTTCTTTTCTTCTCATGTTTTCCTGGGTCTGCTTGAAAGCTTGATTTATGCATGAATGAGTGGAATAATGGGTTGTTTTGGGAAAAATGAATAATCATGGTTGGTAACGTGAGCTGTAGGGCAAAGCAAAAAAAATGGGTTCGTACATTGCGATTGACTTCAACTTATGTTCAATCAGAATTGAAGTAACCAGAGATGGTGGATGCACTTTCTGGTGCATGCATCCACTCCTGGATAGGGCTGGAAAAATGACTTCTGCTTCTGGTTACCAACTGACCCTAAATTTTACGACCGACCCTAATATTTTTTATTTGTGCAAATAAAAATAATTTTAGCAATACTCACATGACGTTCACACGAAGCGTGCACGTGGTTGCTAGTGTTTGTCGGTTAAGTGTGTGACATCACGTGGCTGCAATCAGCTGAATGAGAACGTGTCGCGAATGCTGATTTCGGGCACAATTCAAAACATGACTCTGCAACTTCAAGAAAATTGAGATCATAGAATATTGCTTTCTCGGAACATACAGTATTCACTGAGCTAAAATTTCATAAGCACCTTCTTAAGATTTGAGCACTTTTGTTGTTTCAAACGAAAAAAAAATGCACAAATAACAAATGATATACTCTACCTTACATGTAAGTCAATGCATTCATTACTCATTTCAATTTATTGCTTGGATGCCACAATGCATTGTTTAATTAAGTCAATCAACTGTTTACTCATTTCAATATTTTAGGATGCAGCGCACCCAAAAAGATGAAGCTTGACAGTCCAGCCCAAGATGCTGCTGATTGCTGTCAAAAGGACCTGAAATGGTACTACAGGATGACAGGTAGCTTTGTGGATTTGATTCCATGGTTCGGTGATGACAGGAAACATATCTTGGACATCTACACAAAGTTACAGTTAATACTTGGTAAGGACAAAGTCATGCTGACATCATATGATGATATATTACTACTTAAGACAAAAGAGGGAGAACTGATCCCAATAGCAGTTTTAACTGGGTTGGCTGGTAGAGGAAAGACCACACTTTTTAACAAAATTGCATATGATTGGGCAGTTGGTTCTAGTCAGGTACTACAGAAGTATAAACTTGTCTTCCTGTTGAAAATGCACGCACTGGAGCAGAGTTCAGATCTTGTTGATGCAGTTTTTGACCAACTCTTGGCTAAAGATGTAAGTATTGATAGAGGTGCCCTGGACATGTTTATCAAGAACAGTCCTGGAAAAGTCCTTGTTTTACTAGATGGCTTTGATGAGCTCATGACTACCTCCTTGTGTGAATCCTCGTTTGGTTCCATCCTGGAGATCCTTAATGGAAAGATGTTGAGGGGTTGTACTGTACTTGTCAGCACCCGCCCCTCACACTTAGACAGACTTGTATCAGAGGAACTTGTTCAGGAACCATTCACACATGTCGAGGTCATGGGTTTCAGTGGGAAAAATGTCACTGAGTATGTTAATAATTTTTACACAGCTGAACCTGTCAAGGGCAAGGGACTTCTTAAAAAGATTAGATCGTCAGGCCTTCTGTCAGCTTTAGCTGCAAGTCCAATGCTTCTTCTTTTGATGTGTGTACTGTGGAGAGAAGACTGCACACTCCCAGAAACAATGTCACTTCTGTATCGTAATGGAGTTCTCTACATCTTCAAAAGAAAAACATTGGACTCAAAAGATGAATCACATGTACAAAAAATTGTGATTGAAATTGGCAAGGTTGCGTTGCATGGTCTTCTTTCTCCAGATCAGTCACTCTCTTTCAAAGAAAGTGACTTTGAGTCGAGTGTGCTTAAGGAGGCTCTGAAAGCAGGTATTCTGACCAGACAGACAGACCGCAAGGGACTACAGACTCACAACTGTATTCAGTTTATTCACAAGACATTCCAGGAGTTCTCTGCTGCTGCTTACTTGCAAAGCTTGTTAGAAGCAGAGCCAGAGGAATTTCAGAAGATTTTGAAGGAAATTATGTCAAAGGGTGCAAGGACGTTTGAGTATCTGCTGCGCTTTTGTTGTGGTGACAATGAGGCATGTACATATGAGATTATGAAGGAATTTCAGTTGACGTATCCGAAGAAGTTGTCATTCAAATCAAAGATGGGTCAGTTGGCACTTCATTGTTTCTATGAAGGTCATTCCAAACGTTTGCCTCCAGAGGAATTCATACATTCATTCATAACAGATGAAATTTACATTCATAGGTTTGACATGGATTGTCTGAACTCAGTCAGATACTTTTTGAAATGTGTTGCTGAACAGACAAAAGACAGAGGAAATACTTACCTTGCTAAGGTACATAAATTACATGTACACTTTTGTCAATGGACATGGTTTATTGAGGAGTTAGCTGTTATCTTGTGTGCAATGACAAATCTTCGTGATGTAAGTTTCATGAACAATGCAGATACTGCTAAGTTGCTCAGGCATCTACCCAACTTGGTACCTAAATTGCGTCTTTCTGGTAATGACCTGGGTGGTACAGCAGCATCATGGTGCATGCATTTGAAGCAGTTGAAGTCCCTCAAGGAGCTGGTCTTGAGTAACTGCTCATTGAATGGACAGGACATCAAACAAATTGTTGAATCACTCGGGGATCTACCCAACTTGGTTGAATTGAGTCTTCGGCTAAATGATAACCTGGGTAGCACAGCAGCATTATGGTGCACGCATTTGAAGCAGTTGAAGTCCCTCACAAAGCTGGGCTTGGGTAGCTGCTCATTGAACGGACAGGACATCAAACATGTTGCTGAGTCACTCCGGGATCTAACCAACTTGGGTGAATTGGATCTTTTTCGTAATAACCTTGGTGGTACAGCATTATGGTGCACGCATTTGAAGCAGTTGAAGTCCCTCACAAAGCTGGGCTTGGGTAGCTGCTCATTGAACGGACAGGACATCAAACATGTTGCTGAGTCACTCCGGGATCTAACCAACTTGGGTGAATTGGATCTTTCTGGTAATAACCTGGGTGGTACAGCAGCATCATGGTGCATGCATTTGAAGCAGTTAAAGTCCCTCACAAAGCTGGGCTTGCGAGGCTGCTCATTGAATGGACAGGACATCAAACATGTTGCTGAGTCACTCAGGGATCTACCCAACTTGGGTGAATTGGATCTTTCTTATAATAACCTGGGTGGTACAGCAGCATTGTGGTGCATGCATTTGAAGCAGTTGAAATCCCTCACAACGCTGTGCTTGGGTGAATGCTCATTGAATGGACAGGACATCAAACATGTTGCTGAGTCACTCAGGGATCTACCCAACTTGGCTGAATTGATTCTTCATCGTAATAACCTGGGTGGTACAGCAGCATTGTGGTGCATGGAGGTAAAGCAGCTGCTGCACCTTCAGAGGCTGTACCTCATGGGCTGTCGCCTGACAGAGGAAGACAAGAACCATATTGATGAGTCACTGAGTGACCTGAAGAAGAATGGGTTAGTCATTAGGACATACCGTTAATTTCAGCGATTAAAATCCTGATTTAAATCGCATCATTTTTTTTTTAAACTGTTCCGAATTTTTCACCACAGTTGTTCCGCATTTTTTTTATAAATGATTACACACCTGTGAAGGGGTACAAGCCTGCCAGACTGATTCGCTGACCTTTCCCCAAAGTCTATACATTTCTCTGTTTCATCTTAAGGGGTCAGGGAACCAGACTACAAGAACATGATTGGTTTTCTTGGTTTTTCCCGCATCTACAAGCCCAAAACGTGAACAAAGTCAGATGAACAATATTTGCTATAACATACTAATCCTCCAAATCCATTTATTTCTGAAAATTGTAGCAAAAGCAAATGTTGTACATTCCCTTTAAAGACAGCACACTCACGCTTGCTTTAATCATTCCTAATTGATCTGTTTACAGTAATATTGTGAATCAACTGTGCTGGTGTACATGTAGGCTTACCTGAACCATCTCAAGGTGTATTTAAGTCCCAATCGATAGCATTTATTACTAAAATTTCTCCACAACATTTTTAGATTAAGTTTTATAGGCCATCAGCCTGGGGGTTTGGTCGGTATCAAATGAGGGGAATAATGCTCATTGTGATTTTTGGTAAGGTATGCACTCCTGTAGTTGGAAAATATGTGAAAGCAATTGCAGCGGTGGCAGCTTTTTGGGTGCTATCACGTTAAAAAAACACTGCGGCCAGTACATGCTTGTTACCATGTACATGTTTAATTAATCCGGTAACAAGCATATTGGCCGCAATTTTGAAAAAAAAAAATTATAAGTGATCACACCCAAAAAACTGCCACCGCTCACACTGCAAAGCTATCACACATTTTCCAACTCTAGATTTGCTTACCTTGCCAAAGATCGCTATGAACACTGCTCCTTTTGATCATTTGATACCGGTGGCCCAATTTTTGGACCGAAGCTGATAGCCTATTATATAATACCTTTTAAAGGTGCAAGGCCTGATTTCTGTTCTCCACCTTGTATGAAGGACCTTCAATCAAACACTATATTAGTTAAACAAGGATCAGTGCTGCCAGTTTTGAAATAAAAAACATTTTCATGAAACAAACATGCCAATGAAGAACTGTTCTCATACAGGGTGAGTCAACAAAATCCGAACCCAAAACCCCAAAAATATATTTCATATTCAAAAACATATGTAGCACCAACAATAATGATGACTGGAAAGCCAATTTCATAAGCTACTTTTAGATGAAAAAAAATACTGAAATTGCTCAATCCGTTCAAAGAATATCACGGTTTTCATATATATCCACAAACAACATATCTCAGCTGTATCAATCAAGCTATGCACCTTTAACGTGTCTTCAGTATTAATGTACCATTGACCAAGTGAGGTAGACTGCATGTAGATGAAATCAAGTGATTTTTTAAACCACTGATTCAATAGAATTGTTTCAAAAGCATGCATTTATCAATTTATTGAGTTTTGTGGGTGATAGGTATTATAGGAACCTGTAAACTCCTTAGTTATGGGTGTAAGGGTGCATGGGGAGATTAAGACACATTTTTTAGACAAATCAATATTTTGAAAGTTAAACAAATACAAAAAATCTGAATTAAATAAAATAAAATTGATGTATTTTTTTTAAAATAAAAAATATCGCACACCCAGCGTTGGATTAGTCACAATGAAACAATGTAAATGTTTGAATAATAACTTTTGCCAGATTGAATAAATCTGTCATCAAAGAGTTAGACTTTTTCGTCTAAAGAGTCTGCTCAGTAAAATATAATTCACTGGTCAATTGTTTTTCTTTCGGCAGGGTGGAGGGTATAGACCTGAACAAATCTAGAAGCAAAATTGTAACGGGAGTGATTTGTGTTAACAGAAAGATTTCCTCAGTGGCATATTGTGGCTCCTTCATTAGAACCATTTAGAAATTCTCAAAGATCTTCCTATTAAAGCTGCACATTGACAGTTAAAGACGTGAAGCATAGACACTGTAGGCGTGGCACTGATGGGTATGTAGGACTTCTGCCTCAATTGATCAGATTGCTGAATCCTTTCTTCATTATACACAAGACATGGTGACTCAGCAACATCATGCAAGTCCAATACACTTCTATCAGTCAACTGTGTTATCTGTGTTGTCACCCATTACAAAGCTGGAAAGGTTAATATCTGGTTGTAAGATTCTGTTCAGCAATCTGCGATTGTTGTCTTGTGAAGCCGTCTATATTATTTGTGAAGGCTTGTTTTCTTTCACGTCTGAGTGGTTTCTACACTTTCTGTTTCCCCTCTTGGGGGGAGGGGGACTGGAGTTCCAACCATCTACCACCCTCTGACTTAACACATTCTGTTGTAAGGTCACCAGCTGTGAGGGGATCTTTCATTGACATTTTCATTTGAGTGTTTATAACACTTTGTGTTTTCCTTGGGAAAGCAATGATTTGTGTTTCCCAGGAGGAGTGAGTTCCAGTCATCTACCACCCTCTGTCTGAACACATTCTGCCTATCAGCTGTGAGTGTATCTTTCCTTGAACATGCCTCTGTCTATCTCTGCTGGTTTGTGTTTCCCTGGGGGAGTGAGTTCCAGTCATCTACCACCCTCTGACTGAACACATTGCCTATCACTGTATCAGCTCCTCATGTGTCTCTCTGTTTCTGCTGCTGTGTTTCTTTCCTGTACTATCTCCCATACATTTGAAGATCTTGCACCGACTCCAAACCAATTCAATCACCCTCATCAACTGAAATTCAACATTCCTTTGTCCCCTTAATGTCTCCCCGGCCCATACAGAAAGTCCCTTGGCCTTGTCAGGTTTGAACCCTTAGCTGCATCAACTGACTTGAACTGTCTGCTCAGATTAATCATTACAGTCAAATTTGGACCTTCCCACATTGATGGGGAAATATCCAGCACAAAGTGCTGGTTAGTGGTGACATTTTGTGAGTCTCATTGTCAAATTCTGTGAAAACACTTCTAAAGATCTTCCCAAGCAAATGATTTCTGTATTGGATAGTTTAACTGCACCTTGCACAGTGTACCAAGGGGCACGGCGAACAATGTTGAAATTTGTTCAAATGCTAGTTACCCAGGATATTTTTCAGAGAGGGAGATATTTGCAAGAACTATCTGTAGTCTGTGAATAATGAGGATCCTTATCTCTGTATTCCAGTAACTCGACTGACAGTGACAGATGAAACAGTTGTAATTACATGTAGTGTGGTCATTACTCTACGGTATGATGATTGGGGATAACATGTACATGTAGAAATACAACCAGTCATTCTCATTAACTGTAATAATTGTATATAACATGATACATTTTTTGTAAATATGCAGAGGTAATTTATATTTTTATATTTTTGCTATTTTTGTATCACTTGTTAAATGAATATTGCTGCAAATTGCCTACTGACCTGATTGACCTGCAATGTACAATCCTTTCTGTAAACATTTCTGAAATACCTGTGTTTGTAAGTATTAATATTCGTCGTCTGTTTCGCCAGTGCACTTTTCTTATGAGTTTTACTGTGCTGAACATTATTTAATAATTTGTAATGTATGCAGGGCCCAAATGGAAGTTTTTTTCACAACTGTTTGGGCACACTCTGTGTATAAAGAAAAGGAACAAATAAATAAAAGAAATCAAGTCAGATGGCATGACTTTTCAATCCTAGTAGGGTCTGTCTCAAATGCAAACAAAACTATGTGAATATTTGATATTGCTCATCTGAAGATTGGGCAAAGTGAGCCAGATTGTTCTATTTTTATAACTTCTATTTTGTATTAATATACATAGCCTGATGTACTTTTTATAACAGCCAAGTTGCCTTGCTTTTGTACCAAGTCATAAGAATCATGAAACTTGCCATCGTTGGATCCAGTACAACTCAGATTTGTTATCGTTTTAATATCAAGAATCACATATTGCATGATGTACATTGTATAGTGTTTACAATGGGTCAGATGTTTGTTATTTCCAGATGAATGTTGCCTTTATTATGCACTGAATGCCCGCATCATTAGCGTAATGCTGACAGGCTGACATAGTCTAGTGTGGGGTTTTCTCTTTGTCTTGTGTCACACACAATTAAGCAAGGCATTTGAGTTAATGATACACCAGGTTTTTAAGCAAATCAATAGCATTCTTTTCTCAGTCATTTGTTGGTGTCAATGTAAATCTCTGATTGAGAAAAGGCTACACCAAGTTAGGACACAACAATTATATGAAATTTGTCTCATGTAAGTTTTTTGTGATTGAGACAGCCAGCACGTATTTGATCCGATCTTTCAAATTGCTGTTCTGTTTAAGTTCTCGCTCTTTGAATATTCATAAAGGTTTGAAAACGATACTTCATATGATTCTGATGTTTGACAGTATTAAAGTGTTTTTTTTTTCTTCTAAAGATTGTTTGTTACTTCCTTGCTGCAATACTCAAGAAATATTTTCTCTTTTCATTTTGCTTCATCTCAAAAGACAGTACTGAAATTTCTTCCTTCACAATTACCTTGTATTTATAGATAAGTTTCCAGTGAAAGTCAAGTTTCATGTTCATTCCTGGTATGAAATTGATGTCTGTCAAAATTAAGGTTTTTGTGTGCCTCATGCGTTTTGATATTTGAACTAAGTTTACATCTGATAAGACTCATTTAAAAGTATGGGATTGTTGTATGCCAATGTAGTTAAATAAAGACACTTTTGCAACTGATTGCTTGTTTGTTAACAGCTGTGTGTTTTTGTGTATGTGTCAAGTTCTAAATATGGTGGGGTGAAATTTACAATGGGAGTGTCAAGTTAGAAGGGGAATTAGGTTGAAGAAAAAGATAGATTAAACGTTGCTTGTTGCTGTATACTGCTATATGTGCAGGATTATTTTAACGACCTAAACCCTCCCTCCACTTCATCAATGTGTATCAATTCTTTTAGGAACAGGAGCCAAATGAGAGGTATAAAAAGTATTAATATAAGACATTTTCCTTTCATTTTGCAAGCAAATATTTGTAAAGGGATGTGAAACGTTGGACTTCTGACGCTTGTTTTGATCCACTAACATTATAATGTGAGGGAGACAAACCACACCACAATACAGAGGACCCCAAAGCCCTCTTGTTTTGACCCCGCCCAGTCCGTGTTATTGAAAACTTTTTTTGAATACCGCCCTCTATTGCACTGAGGTCAATGACCAACACCAGGAAATAAATCTGACGGCTCATCATCAAGTGATCAACAAGATTCTCGGCCAGCCCGCTAAAGGTTGGAAAGTTTGTTCTTTTACCACATTTTACCATTAATTATATATTTAAAGTGATGATTATGGTTGGATATAGCATCGTGACAATTTTGATTCTTTTTAAAGATACAATCATTGATTTTTTCAGAGTGTTTTTTTTGCCAAAAAAATGACCAACCCCAACTTCCGAAGTCAAGACAAGAGTGCGCTCGTAATCGTAAGTCGTACTGTAGGCGCCATGACCGCCCTGCAAACAGCTGGCGCTGGGAAGAGTTGATGAGCTCGAGCTTCACAGAATCTTGTGAAGGAAGTTGGGATGGCATTCTGCAGTTGTTTAAGACAGCAATTGGCGGCCAATGCGCACAAATGCTATCCGAAAACTTTCTCTTGGAAATCTACAATCACTCTACATCTACGTGGATGACTCAGCAAAGCACATACAAACTTATCGCGGAAATTCACCTATGCAAATTGGGGTCAACACGCCCCTCATTATGACGTCAACGTTGAGTTCGTGCTTGCGCTCATGCCATCAATTTCAGCCCGACTCGCTTCAGTTTTATGAATGAAATCATTATGCATCGGAGAGTGCACATGCCAGAAATTTACAGTAGAAAAGCTCATGATATCTGCTTTCTTTTGCCGAAGAAAGCATCAAAATCGATGAACTATTGCTTGAGTTTTGACAGTTGAAACATTTTTTAGCGGTTTTTTTTTAGGAACCAAAACTTCTTATTTTTCGAGGGAGTCCATCTTTTTAATCCTAAATTTCTTTCTTCTCGAATTTGGTTCGGGAAAACCGGAATTAGTTCCATATAGAACAGGTTTTCAGCTTTGATATGGTGTGGCACATGTGGGTGGCCGGTCTGATACGGCGATGGCCGCGAGCAATATGCATAAAAATTGCTCGCTAGAACTGCCCAAAATTGCGAATGATAGTGAAGTAATCACGTGATATAAACACGTGCAACGTGCATGAGATATATATAGCTCAGTGGAAGACGGTTACGAAGATTAAAGGGATCCCGTTTGATTAAAGGGATCCCGTTTGATGAAATGTGTGTGTGTCTCTTTTTTTCTGTCCCTTTTACCCTGTATCCCGATGCAACGGGGTTGGGCGGTGGGTTGGGGTGGGGATGGCCCTCGGGTGGGGTGGGGGAGGCCTGCAGGTGGGGTGGAGGAGGGGGAGGGGGAGGGGGAGGAGATGGGGGGGGGGGGGGCGGGGGAACAAAGACACAGTGGGTGGAATATGCACATTCTTTGGTTGAATGGCCATTGCAAATATCCCAACACCTTGAGGGGCGGGGTGGGGTCCCCTGGGTGGGGGGAAAGGAACAGGAGGGGGATAATGAGAACCAGGATAATGGAATATTTCCTGTCTTTCATTTCTTACACCTGCACCATATCAGGACCCCATGGAAGGGGAGTGCACATAAGGGGTTGCCGGTGGAGGGGGGGGGGGGGCGGGGGGGGGGGGGGGGGCGTGGGGGAGGATGCCTCATGAGTGTAAAGGGGGGCGGGGGTAGAGTACTCAAAACCAGGAAGCTTAAAATCCGGCGGGGGGGGGGGGGGGGGGGGGGGCTCAAAAGGAGGATGGTGGAATTTCACATTTCCTTTTCTTTTTTCGGTCCTTGCAACATATCCCGACCCTAGTGGGCGGTGGGTGGTGGGGGCCCCCACCAACACAGAAATCTTGATATGCAAATTAGGTAAACAGCGCCGCTCATTATAGCATCATCATGAAATTCTTGCTGACGCGCATGCCATCTACTTCGGCCAATTTTCGGCCAGACTCCTTCAGTTTTATGAATAATATCACTGTAGGCCTACATCAGAGGATGCACCTGCCAGAAATTTACATGCTGAAAGCAACAGAATGATGTCCGCTTCCTTTTGCCGAAGACAGCGTCAAAATTGTTAAATGAAAGGGTGAGTTTTGACGATTAAAATGTTGTTTTAGCATTTTCCTTTTTGGAACTCAAACTTCGTATTGTCCAAGGGAGTCCATCTTTTCAATCCTGTTTTTTTTCCTTCCAACATTTTGTTTGAGATCAAATGAATTAATTCCGAGTAGTTGAGTTTTTTAGCTGGCGAATGGTGTGGCCTAAGTGGGTGGTCGGTTTAATAGTGCGATGGTCGCGAGCAAAATGCGTGGAAATTTATCACTGGAACTGCCAAAAATTGCGAATGATTTTCAATTGATCACGCCGGCTATATCCGGCCCGCCGGCACCGCGCGCGTTAAATAAAAACCCAAGATTAATAAAATAATCAAGATGTTTTGTTTTCTGATGAATGATGTGACTTTATTATTGGGAATACCCCTTTCTTTTTTCCGTTCCCCTGCCCTGGATATCATATTCCGACCCTGGGGTGGGGTGATGGTGGGGGGGGGGGGGGGGCGGGGCGTGGTGTTCAAACCACGCCAAGAGGGTTGAAATGTGTTTTCCAACAAGTGAAGTTTGTCTTTTAATTTGGTGCAATTACGTTCCCGACCAGACTGTCTTTTTGTGCGATATCATGGGCCGGATGGGGGGGGGGGGGGTTGAGGCCGGGTAGGGGTTAGTGGGGGTGGGGCAGGGGATTTTCCAAAACAAAGAGGGTGGAATGTCCTTCATGTTCTTTTAGATATTAATCTTAAGACTTGCTACTCTTAGGGGGGAGAGAGGTGGAGGGGGTTGCATGAGTTGGGGAGGGGGTATAGAGTACTCTAAACCAGGAGGGTTGAATATCCCGGGGAGCCTCAGAAGGGGGGGGGGGGCCTGGAATTTCCCAATCTTTTGTTTTCATCATCATCATCATCATCATCATCATCGTCATCATCATCAGACGTCGTAGGCTACTGCCCGTTGACGCAACAACCGTCCACTTCTTCTGGGTTGTGTGACTGGTGAAGGGGTGATTTTCCTGTGGAGGGTCGCCGCAGTTAGTTTATCCACGCTGAGACCACTCCATCTGGTGAGGCCGTCGATCCAGCGGAGTTTGTTCCTTGCATTATATCCCGACCCTTGGGGCACAGGGTGGGGGCCCCGACAAACTATTCACAGAAACCTTCGTATGCAAATTAGGTGAATAGCTCCGCTCATGATGACGTCATTGTCAAGTTCTTGCTTTATTATGCGCATGACATCGTCTTCGGCCAATTTCACTGGGAGTCCATCTCTTCAATCCTATGTTTCTTCTTTCCAACATTTGGTTCGAATTCAAATGAATTTATTCCGAATAGTTGAGGTTTTCAGCTGTCGAATGATGTGCCACATGTGGGTGGTCGGTTTGATAGTGCGATGGTCGCGAGCAATATGCATTGGCATTTTTCGATGGAACATCAGCCAAAAATATTTCAAATGATTTTCAATTGATCACGCCATCACCGCTTGCGTTCTAATAAAAAAACCAAGATTAATCTAAAAAGCAAGATGTTTTGTTTTCTGATGAATGATGCACCTTTATTATATTATTGGGAATAGGCCTACCCCTTTCATTTTTCATTTCCCCTGTCCTGGATATCATATTCAGACCCCCGGGGTGGGGCGGGGGGGGGGGGGGCGGGGTGTGCGGTTCAAGCCATGCCAAGAAAGCTGAAATTTGTTTTCCAACAGTGATTTTTGTCTTTTTACGGTGGTGCAATTACGTTCCCGACCAGACTTTCTTTTTTACTGCGAGATGGGACTGGGTTGGGGTGGGGGTGGGGTTGAGGCCGGGTAGGGGTTGGTGGGGGGTCAGGGGATTTTCTTCCAGTGATTCTCAGTTCCAGATCTGCATGCCCCGTGGGTGGGTGTGGGAGTGGGCAGGGCTTGTGGATCATTACCAAACAGAGGATTGCATATTCTTCAAGTGATTATTTTCAGACCTGCATGCCCGTGGGTGGAGGGGGGGGGGGACGGGTTGGATTTCCCCAAACAAAGAGGATGGAATATTATTCCTGTTCTTCCAGCGATTAATCTTAAGACGTGCTGCTCTGGGGGGGGGGGGGGGAGAGAGAGAGGTGGAGGGGTTAGAGTACTCCAAACCAGGAGGGTTGAATATCCCCGGAGGAGCCGCAGATGGGGAGGGCCTGGAATTTCTCAATCTTCTTTTGATTTGGTCCTTGCATTATATCCCGACCCTTGGGGCAGAGGGTGGGGGCCACGACAAACTATTCACAAAAACCTTCGTATGCAAATTTGGTTAACAGCACCGAATTTTATGACGCGATCGTCAAATTATTGCTTTAATATACGCGCATGACATCGTCTTCGATCAATTTCGGCCACACTCGCTAGGAGTCCATCGCTTCAATACCATTTGTCTTCTTTCCAATATTTGGTTCAAATTCAAATGAATTCATTTCGAATAGTTGAGGATTTTAGCTGTCGAATGGTGTGCCACATGTGGTTGTTCGGTTTGATTGTACGATGGTCGCGAGCAATATGCATGGAATTTTTCAAAGGAACTGCCAAAACTTGCGAATGATCAGTATACACGTATACCTGTACGTACGTGCAGCAGAGCGCAGGGGATCTACCCGATGTTCCCCAACACCGATGTTCCCAACTACCGATGTTCCCCCAAATCCATAGGATTAGAGTTAGGGTTATATTGGTAAGGATTTCGGGGAACATCGGTATTGGGGAACATCGGTATTGGGGAACATAGATATGCACCCGTGCAGGAGCTATGGAAGAAGCGTTACAAAGCAAGGATTCCGTTTGTTAATGCCCTTTTTTTCGTCCCGTACTATCCCAAAGCGACGGGACGGGGTTGAGTGGGTGGGGTGGGGGAGGCCCGCGGGTTGGAGTGCGGGTTGGAAGAGTAGGGAGGTTGGGGCGGTGCACCGGGAATCACATTTTTTTATTGACCCTTTTGGCCTTGCCCATTTTCCCGACCCCTTGGGGCGGGGCGGGGATAAAATTTCTTTTTTCCGTGCACCATTATCCAGACCCAGTGGCGTAGCCACCGGGGGGCGTGGAGGGGGGGCGACCGCCCCCCATGAAACCTTGTCGCCCCCCCCCCCCCCACTGAGATTTTGAGTTTCTAAAAAAATT